TGAAAATGTGTATTATATTGTTGCCTTAACATTAAAATAAAAAATCACTCACCGACCGATGCGCAACAGCAAAGTTCTAATCAACTACATTGATCAGATAAATTATCTGAAACATACAAATATTTTCTATATTAAAGCATTGCAATGTCCAAGATAATCGATACTTGTATTGTACCGATTGTACAAGTAATGAATTAATGATTCGAATATAATGTAAGAACGAATCACGTCGCGCTTGAGAAAGTGATGGAATTCGGCCCGGGACAGCAAAATAATAAACGAATATTATACTCACTTTACAGTCATTTTGCCGTTGCTCGATGCCTCCCAAACCCCCTCCTCCTCTCCGTGATCCTTCATCAATGTGCATCTCCGTCGATGTACTCACTCACGATATTCACGAGCGAAAATTGACGATATCGTCGCTCATGATCGCGCGACACTTTGCACGGCACTCCCGGTATTAATCTCGCGACGCGGCGCGTACTTAATTACACGACGACGGAAGAATTACATCGAAGTCGTCGGAGATGCTTGTACAATCCGCTCGACGATCCCGTCGGCCCGTGATGCCCTGCACGTAGACGCGACGAGCGAGTCTTACATGGCGGAGAGAATTCCATAAGTCACATGGTCAACTTCACTCGCCAGGAACAACCGTTGCGTGGACTGCTTGTCAAGCGATTTTGTTTACTTAACTGTAATCATAAATCATCGATATATGTACATACACATACATATACATCTATATTTTCTAACTTATCAAACTTTTGCCGGGGGCCGCCACGATCGCCGAATGCCCCTTTGCCAGGGGCATCGGTGCCTCTGTGTTTGACTCGAGGGTACACCTGCGTGGCGATTTCCCGAGTCATTTTCTGAAGAGACAGGTTGAGAAGCGCCGAAGCCGACGTTCCCTTTCCCGTCCTCCCCGACTCCATGTCGACCTCCATTGTAGTCGACCTTGACATCTCCTTTATCCTCCTTGTCAAATCCTCCACCTGAGCCTTCAGCTCAAGTTTCTCTGCCGATAGCTCCTTCCATTTGCTGCTCGCCTCTCTTTTCGCCTCCACCATTTCCTCTATCGCCCCCTCGAGTCTATCCTCAAGGGCGCTTACCACCTCATCAATGTAGATCGCGCATCTCTCCATCTGTTCGTTGATCATTGAGACCCGTTTACCACCTTCATCCTCATCCACCACAGGGGCAACAAGGACATCATAGACGAGGTACCTGGATCTATCCATCACCTCCTCTAGTGACAACTCATTTATTCTCTTCCCGATAAGTCCGGGGAACCGAACGAGCTCGTTGCGAGAGCGTCCTCTGAGATCTTTTTCCCAACGCCTTTTGAAGAGCTCTTTCCTTTCCTTCCTCGCTTCGCTGTTCCCCATCGGTATCCAAACCTTTCCCCTCCCCGGCGGCAGTCTCACCAGGCTTACCACCGGAGAGAGAGGTACGCTCCTATCCTCCGATTCCTTCGACCTCTCTCTATTTGACCTTTTATTAGTCATACTAATTTCTCTTTGTGGCTCATCGCTTGATGATGACGAGAGGTTGGCTGAGCCTTGTCTTTCGACACCCCCTACCCGCCGGCCCCTGAGTATCCGATCCCTCTGAGACAGTAAGTGCTTCATCTCAATAGAACTCATCCATAATTTCTATAGGTGGTTTTATTTCGGAGTGTCCATCTCCTAGGCTGGTTGGTTTCCTGACCTCACGGGCCCAGCCTGCCCGAGCCCTCGGGAATCCCCAAGTTCGCCACGCCCGTATCGAGGGCGCCCCCCGAAGGCCCCGAAGGACCCCCAGAGACCGCCCCCGACCCCTGAGGCACCGTCCGCCGGTCGACGCCCACGAAAGAACCCCGCCACCCCCACCCGCACGCAACGAGGGGTGGCCGGCCGAGAGACCTCAATCCCGGCCCCGGCCGAGCGCGCTCGATCCCGGTCTCCGCCACGCACGAGCAGGGGACACGGAGCGCCCACGCCGCCGCCGACCCAACGGACTCCGTACTCGTCACCGGCCCTTACATCCGGTGACCAGACCCGCTGGCCCCGACCCCGGAATATGTCCGAGCGGCCCAACGGGTCTCTCCCCCAAGGTCGCCCCGTTCCCGACCTCGGAATACGTCCGAGCGGCACGAGACGACCCTCCACACAGGCAGCACCGTGGGGTCACACCCCTGGCGTGCAAGCCACCTGTGTGGGCTTCTTTCTCACCCGCCCCCGCACCACGTACGGGGACCGCGATAAAGAAGGGAGCCCCCCCACCCCCTCCCGCCGGAGCACCGGCGTGCAATGGAGGAGGAAGGGGGGGCCTTCCGGCTTCCCTCGGCGAGACGGCATCCCTGCCCGCCTCAGGAACCGGGACCCCCTCCCCATCCCCACCCTGGCTCGGCGGCAAGCCCCCGCTTAACGGTCCCGGCCGACCGGGCGTTTGTAGTCGGGGTCGCCTTCCCCTACCGACGCTTTAGAGTCAGGGAACAAGTTCCTTAACAGGGGCGCTGGACCCTATTGTGCCCCCAAGTCTCGACGAGTCAAGAGAAGGGGGGCACGGCATGCTCTTAGATCCTGTACCTTTCCACCGAGCCCTCCCTTCGGCATAACCGAAGGTACTGCCTCAGTGGATCGTTGGTACAGGGAGCCCTCTCACCACGTCAAGGTGGCATGCCACGAGAGGGAACCTAACCTTTTTTTTTTTTTTTTTTAACGTGAGGAAATCTTCAACTGCTGGGTTCTCGAGCAAGCCCGGTATGTGGCCCAGCAGCCCCCTCTGATGTTGGAGGGGGAAGACCCCCTCGGTCTCTGGCAAGACTCGAGGGGAGTGTGGGATTCCACGCACGCTGCATTCGAGTGCAGCGCGCGCAGCCTACCCACTAAAACCTCACGGGTGTCCTTATTTGCGCATTGGTAGGAGTGCCCAGGAACTAATGTATGCATCTGGACACTCCCTGCGCTGAGCTGACTTGCTCCCTGCTCTGGGCTATAAACCCTAATTGCTCGGTTGAGCTAATATCTAACGTGGCGGAGCGGACACCATCCCGTTCCGCCACCCTTCCCTGTGTACAGGGGCTTAACTGGCCGACTGTCGGTGCCAGCCGACAGCCGACCGCCTATACTGCGGGCCCCCCCCCTCGTCGGAGGAGGGGTCTTGCAGGGTACGCTGCCTGCACGTGCGGTCCTAAGACCGCGTAAATCGCCCCAATTGGGGCGTCATAGGTCAGTCTTAACCTACGTCTATCTTTGTTGCGCGTTCGCCGCGGCATGATCATATTGTTCGCGACGAACTCGCTCCGCTTCTTCCTTGGCGGACATTACCTTGCCGCAATAGGCAAGGAATGCCCGCCACTTCTCTACTTCTCCGACCGCCTCCGCCACAACGGCCGGGAGGGAGAGATCTACCCCTATCTCCCCCTGTAGGACACGACGCTGCTCGTCCCAAGCGGGGCATATTTCCAGGGTATGCTGCGCCGTGTCCCTCATCTCGTTGCAGTGATGGCATCTGGTGTCTGCCTCCTTACCGATGCGACACAGGTACTCACCGAAACACCCGTGCCCGGTGAGCACCTGCGTCGCCCTGAACGTTAGTCCGCGTCCCCGTCCACCTAGCCACTCGTCTAGGTGGGGCAAAACGGCGTCGACGGTCCTTCTGCCGTATTTAACTACGGCAGGATTGGACAGTTGTTGGCGCCATTTCTCTATCAGGACCGCCTTAGCCTGGAGCTTGATGGCTCCGCTGGCCTTGTCCCACTGCTTGCCCCTCGGTATCTGCAGCAGTCTTGTCCGTCTATACACCTCGGCGTGACAAGCCGCCACCAGCTCAAGGGGCGGGAGTCCGGCCAGCACCGTCGCCGCGGCATGCGACACGGTGCGATACGCCCGCGACGCTCTTATAGCAACCACCCGCTGGACCCGGTTCAACTGGGCTTTGATGCGGGCAGAGCCAGCCGCCCTAGGCGCCCAAATTGGGGCGCCGTAGAGCGCCACGGACTGCACCACCGCGACGTACAGCCGGCGAGCATGCCCGCTCGCCCCCCCCAGGTTCGGCATCAGCCGAGCCAGGCTATTGGCTGTAGCCATCATTCTGGGGGCTATGCGAGCGAAGTGCTCGCCAAAGCCCCAGGTGCCGTCGAGCCAGAGGCCCAGCAACTTCATGCAGGCCCCTACCGGAACGCGGACATTCTCCACTTTAATGTGGACTCCGGGCGGCTTACCCATAGAACCGTCATGAAAAAAGACAGCCTGAGTCTTTTGGGGAGCCACCCGGAGTCCTAACCTCCTTATCGCAGACACCACGCACGCCACTGCAACGTTAGCCTTTCGCCGGGCCTCCTCCCATGTTTCCCCCTCCACCCCCAGAAAGGTGTCGTCCGCAAAGGCGTTTAACCAGCACCCGGGGGGGAGAGGGGTTCTAAGTGCAGAGTCGTACCCCAGATTCCACATTGGTGGGCCAAGTACCGACCCCTGGGGCACGCCCCGCACAACTAGCCTGACCATCAGGCTACCGTCCCGGTCCACGTACAACAGGTTCCTATCCCGGAAGTAGTCATAAAAGACCGCTATCAAGTAGGGAGGCACATCGTGATGTAACAACGCCTCCCTAATGACCGGCCAGGGCAGGGAGTTAAACGCATTCTGGATGTCGAACGAGACACCCAGAACTACCCTGCCCTCTTCCGCCGCGGCCTCCAAGAGGGCTCGGACCTTTGCGATCGCATCCATGGTCGATCTGCCCTCCCGGAAACCATACTGGTCCTCACTGAGGTCCGGACCCTCCCGGGACAAGTGCCGGACGAGACGGGCAGCGATTATTCGCTCGAACAGCTTCCCCGTCTCATCCAGCAAACATATCGGACGATAACTCGACGGCTGGTCAGCCGGTTTCCCCTCCTTGGGGAGGAGGACCAGCTTGGCCCTCTTCCACTGGCTGGGGAACCGGCCTTCCCTCATGCACCTAGTAAAAAGGGCCCTGAGGTGTTCGGCCAGCTCCCCTGTGGTCCAAGTTCACGCCTTTCCAGGAATGCCGTCAGGCCCAGGCGCTTTACCCGCCTTCAGCCTTCTGGCGGCAGCCTGTAGCTCCTCCATCGTGACCCCGAATTCCTCCTCATCCCACTCCGCGGGAGGCGGGGCGGGTGCACCATTGACTCTCTCCTCTGCGTCGTCGGGGAAAAGAGTCTCCACAACATCCTCGAGGAACTCAGGGTCCAAAGACTCTGTCGTGGGGGGCGCCCAAGGTTTTAGTTTGTTCAAAACTATTCTGTATGGGCGTCTCCACGGGTCTTCCTCCAATGTTTGGAGGAGCTCCTCCCAGGCGCGATCCTTGGCCACTTTTACCGCCTTAGAGAGGGCCCGCTTGGCGGAGCGGTAGCCCTCGCCAGCTTCCTCCTTTGCCAGGGGGTCTTGTCGGGCCCTTGCCCTAAGATAGACCCTTCTAGCATGGACGGAGGAACGCCGTAGCTCGGCAATCTCCTCCGTCCACCAATACATTCCCTTACATAGGATCGGGTTGGATCGGGGCATCGCCGCATCGCATGCTTGCTTCATGATATCTCCGATCCTTTCGGCCTGGTCTTCCACGCTGGTCACTGCGTTCCGCAGGACATCCTCTTCCCATAGAGCGGTTAGCGTCGCAGCACGAAACAGGTCGCGATCCGCTTTACGCCACTGCCATCGCGGAAATTTCTCGCGCGCTGCTCGTCGACGTCCCACGATATCGCGATGGGTAGCCAGGAGGGAAAACTCCACATACTCGTGGTCCGACCTTGTCTCCACATCCTCAACCACCCTCCATCCCTCGGCTCGGCGTAATCCCTCCGGGTTCACCATCGTGATATCCACAATGGATCCCCCATTGGGTCTTACGCACGTCCATCTGTTCCCTCGGTTGAGAGAAAACAGATTTCTCTCCGCCATCCATTCTTCCATTTCCCTCCCCCGAGCATTCGTGACCGGGGATCCCCACAATGCCGATTTAGCATTGAGGTCCCCAGCCACGACAATCGGGGCGGGACCAAACCTAGTTAGACACATCTCCATTTGGTTGAGGATGTCCCGAAACTCAGCCCCACTCCTATTTGGGGAGACGTAGACACTGACGACCACAACCTGTCCCCATTTGACCGCAACGTAACCCTCGCCCGCCACTAGTTTAGTGCAGGGCTCGGGACTAGCAGTTTGCCTCCACGTTACCGCAGCAAGGCCACACCGACTTGACGCCCAACACGGGTGGTTGTTAGGCACACGGTACGGTTCCGCCACGATACCCAAACCACTACCGCGCTCTGCCATGGACTGTAGGAAGAGATCCTGGGCAGCGCGGCAGCGATTCAGGTTAGCTTGAAGAACCTTTGGTATGGATGTGTGGGCCATTACAGTTCATCGTTCAGGCCCTCCGTCTCCATCTCCTCCTCTACCCCTTGTTCAGGGGTTTGTTCAGGGGTTTGTTCTACCCCCGCATCCTTCTCTGGTTGATCATCAGCCTTCCTACCGGCTCGTTTCCCTTTCACCCTTTTCCTATTCCCCACTTCTGAGGAAACGGTTGCAGACTCACCAATGTCCTTCAAGGAACGCTTGGTTGCCTGTCTGACTCCTCCCCCAACAGATGTTTCCCTCATCTCCACGTCCACCGAACCACTCTCAACAGGCTGAGTAGACCGCATCGACTGTGTCGAATTGGCACCCCCCCATCCCGGTTTGCGTTTTTTCCTCGCCGAGGAGCAGGCTTTACTCCCAGTTCTGTGATTGGAGGGCTTCCCCAGATCTGCACAGACCGGGCATTTCACCCCCCCTCTGCAGTTTTTAGCAACGTGCCCCTCCTCGCTGCACCTATAGCACCGATTGCTTCTATCCACTTCATTGGTGCAGGTTGCCCTCACGTGCCCCCCCTCCAAGCATTTGAAACATTGGAAGGGACGTTCCGTGAGCACCTGCACCCTAACCGTAAACCAGCTCAGCCTAATGTGTCATGTGTCGTTAACCAATCTAAACATCCTGTCACAAATAATGTAATAAAATACGATGTTTTGATTGGTCGTGACGGATGACGCGACGCGTGACGCGCTCAGTGGAAACTCAGCCTAAGCTTGCTACCATTTTGCAGGATTGCCCTGACCGCAGCAAGCGGGCACTTGACCCAGGCTGTTT